TTTGAAAATATTGAAGAAATTGGTAGAGGTGGATTCGCGACTGTATACCGTGCTGAATGGGTCAATAAAGGTCGATACTTCTACAGACCTGTTGCACTTAAATTACTTCATGAATCAAATAATTATCGTAAAGCATTTATAAGAGAGGTATCTTTATTAAATATTTTATTAGTTATATTATCTGTGATTTATCATTAAAATTAACAAATTGAAAATACTGCATATTTCCTTTATTATAGTTAAAAGCATATTGTGATATCGGTCTTAAAGATCCAACATTTTTAAGATGCTTCGGTATATCAAAAGTTTCTAAAAATTATATCCTTGTCATGGAATATGCCTTAGAAGTTTGCTTGCGCAAAAATCTACATGCTATAGAACAAATGGATTAGAATGATAAATTGAATCTATTACAATGTATTGCATTAGATCTTCAGATAATTCATTCTCATGATCTTATTCATCGAGATTTACATAGTGGAAATATACTACTAAATAGCCTAAAAAGTGCATATATTGCAGATTTAGGGCTTTCGATCACAGCTGATAGTGCATTAAAATCAAGATTTGATGGAGTTTATGGAATTTTGCCATATATTGCTCCTGAAGTTTTAAACCAACAACCATATACTAAAGAATCCGATATTTATTCATTTGGTATAATCATGTGGGAAATTTTATACGGTAAACCTGTTCCTTTTGAACAGAAATCAGATTTACAATTCCAATTACAAGTATTTAATGGTTTGTGACCACATATTTATGAAAATACGCCAATATGTTATGCAGATTTAATGAAGAACTGTTGGAACATGGATCCAAAAAAGCGACCAACAGCAAAAGAAATTTATGATATATTTGCAGGATGGCAGAATAATGAAGACATTTTATCGGAATTATCTGAATCCGATAAAAAACTAAAAAATATAACAAATGAAGAAATGCAATTTGATGTTGAATCACATTATAAAAGCGGATTTATTTCATTTACCAGTGGTTATAAATATCAAGGTATTTATAAATTTTGATAATAAATTATATTATACCATATTAATATTATAACATTGTTTGATAATTTATTTATAGGTAGTAAATTACATGAATTGAAAATACCGGATATTTGATTAATAAAAGTATCCCACATAATTTTGGAGCAAAAAATTTGGAATAGACATTAATCTTCACCAATACATAAAATTAAACCTGACCATAACTGATATTAAACTGATAGAGAATCCAATGTGCCGTTTTTGTATATTCTCTTTGATAGATTAAAAACTAAATCCTTCATTCACGTTTTTAGTAAAATATCAATCATGATTACAAATTTTTAAATATATTAACTTCAAACTTGAAAAATTTGACTACTATTATGTATATCTAGATTTTAACTGAGACAATCAAACATTTCCAAGTTATAATGTGTTATTTTGATAAACTTTTATGTCTAAGTATTACTATATTTACTATATTGTATAGGGAGTATATTTGAGTGTCGACAAGCGAAAACAGGGAATTGTGAATTTTCGAAATTAATTTTACAGATCAAACCCCGAAAAATGTAATTTAACACACCATATAATTTATGTTGTGCTTAATTTAAATTCATCATCAGTAAGCGGAATTTCCAAAAATCAAGAATTCCCTGTTTTCGCTTGTCTACACTCATTTGATATATCATGATCAGAGTTCCGACATAGACAATAAAGGATGCATGCTATTTTTGGAAGTGGTACAAAGTAAATAAATTAAAAAAGAATATTGATTTGTAAAAGGTTAAAAAAAAAGTAAAGTACAGTATATTGGATTGATATTGGATTAATATCGTAATGTTGATATCAATATCGGTGACTTGGTGTAACAAATCTCTTTTACAACCACAGCCATTTACATTTCCGAGATTATTCGTTGGTTGTCATCATTGGTGACTGTGAATGCACTCCAAATTCTGTGATAGGCCACACCACTAATATCAATTAACTTTTGCCTGATTATGCCTTGCCTCAACGCCTTTTATGACTATAAAAAAATTCCACGTACCGATTTTTCCCAAACTACTTCAACGCTCAATAAAACATTTGTGCAAATTTTATATAAAATGTATTAATCTCACATTAACGTGAGTGATACCAAGGGAAAATGGGGCTTCAATCATATAATTTTATATGAATAAATCCCCATTTCCCCTTGTTTTCACTCTTGTACACTATTTTGGGAGAAGCATTATACCAAGTTGATATTCGCCAATGACTATCTAATTAAACTTGTACATTAGCGCGAACCATTAGGAAACAACGCATGGTATTCGGAAATAACACTATAAATATTTCGGTAATTTAAAACATGTTAATCTCGGAATGTCATACATATTTGGTTAGCTTGTATCACCTCGATCATATTATCTTGTGGATATGAACGACCCAAAAAGTCACATTTTTGATAGATCTGCAGTTACTTCCTAAATTGAGGTGGCATTCATGATGCATCTTATTATCATAAAATTTAAAATTTTCAAGAATTAAAGCAAAGATATCTCGATGACCGCCCAAATAAATTAAATAGTTTTTTTTATTTGATTTTTCAATTTTGTTAAATAAAATAAAAAAAATTCATCGAATTTGGATGCGTGGTCGTTGGGATATCAACGTTAAATTCTATCATGGTGTAATTATTATTTTTGACAGACGTGTTACGATATAGATCGGTAGGTGATAATCACGAGTTGTAATTATTTATTACTTTATTATGAGAGCGTAATCATTTAATATCTTTTAATATGAATGTAAATGCTTAAATGTTTATCCATAATAATGTATTTAAGGCAGAACTTTAGACCTTAATAAAGAGGGAAGACAATGAGATGTCTCAAAACCCTTCATTAGTAACCTCATGCTTTTGTATATGTTTTTCACCAGTTAACCATCAGTACATATGCCCCGTCACTCTCCATACCCAGATTGTAACAACGTTTAAAGTTTCCAAAACTTTAAGCCTAGCCAAGTTTGGCGATTTTTTTTTTATATTAATCCTACAGATATTTGGAAACAAATTAAAAGAAAAAAAAATTTATCAAATTTGATTAGTACTACCAAAATATCCAAAATATCTTATCGTTAAATGTTTTATTAAAATTTGGCAGCAGCAAATTATGATAGACGTTTTAATGGTTTTCAAAACTTTGAGCAAAGCTATTTTAACAATCACCTAGCCAAATTTGAATAATTTTTTTTTATTTGATTCTAAAGGTCTGTAGAAACAAAAAAAAAATTCATCGAATTTGATGGATGGCTGCAGAGATATATTCGCTCAAATTTTATAAAAATTTGGCTGCGGTTATTATTTTGATAGACGTTTTAATGGTTTTAAATTCTAGTGAGAAACCACCCATTCAAATTCAATAAATATATATATATATTATTTGATTTTATAGATCCACAGAAATAAATTTGAATTATTGATTTTCAAGAGATCTTTGTTCAAAGTTTTATAAAAAAATTGCTGTTATATTGCACACTTGTGCATATACATTTAGAACTTTTCCTGCACAAATAAAAAACTACTTGCGCATGTGCTTCTTATGCAAGGTAATTTTAAACACTGGTTATGTTATGCGTCGATAGTTGATTCCGTCATTCAGGGACTGACATATGTTATTAGTTGATCCGCTAATAACCCAAGTTATTGATAGAATATGTTATCGGACTTATTATTATAAGTGATTAATTAATGATGTAAAGAATGTATGATTAATTAATGATGTAAAGAATGTTTTAATTATGCATCAGTAAAATATCAGTAAGCAAAAAAAATAAATAAATAAATAAATTGACATTCGTTAAATAATGTTATTATCATTACTTTTATAAATTACCTTTTCTTTAATATCACGGAATCACAAACATATAATTTTCTATCTCGTGAATCCTTTGACAGAATATTAGAAACACATTAGCAAGAGAAAAATTAATCGAAGCTTAATGGATATTAACCGCTATAATGAATGTTTAAATGTATTAAAAAATCCTGACTTTCAGCTTGACTCAAAGCTTAAATACTGGATTACTAATACTTTTAAAGTACTTCGTATTGGTACAACAGAAGAGCTCCATTTACTTAAACGGGATGAGCATAATTTGGGAACACAAGTTTGCCCGATTGAAAATTTTTACGAAGTAATCTGTGCTGCACATCAGGCAACAGAGCATGGAGGCCAAGAATAAACTTGGAAAAAAGTATTTAATTATTTAATTTAAATTTAAGTAATTAATATATAAAATTATATTAATATTTTTTTAGGATCCGGGTTAGGTATTGCTACATTCCACAACAAATAGTTGAAGATGCAATTCGTGAGTGTAAAGTATGTATTACAAGATGAGCACCTAAAAGAGTTCCACCAATGCGGCCAATTGTTTCTGAAGGCTTTTTAAACCATATTCAGGTGTGTGTATAAATATAAGTTTTAATAATAATTTATAATTGAATTATTAAATAAATAATTATAATATTATAATAGATGGATACAATTAATATGACATCAATACCTGATGGAAAATTTAAATATATATTTCATATAAGAGATCACTTTACCCGTTTCTCTTATGCAGAACCTGCAGAATCAAAATCAGCTGATGAAGCTGCTATAGCATTATTCAATTTTTGCTTAATTTATGGACCACCCACTATCCTTCATACTGAAAATGGAGGAGAATTTATTGAAGCAATATTTAAAAAAACTATGAATCTTTGGCCAAATATAAAGATGGTTAATAGCTGACCTAGATATCCACAATGTCAGAGCCTTGTTGAAAAAGGCAATGATATTCTTCAAACAAAATTAGGATCTTGGATGGAGGAAATATTTAGAGGTGATTGGTGTGTTGGTTTGAAATATGTTATTTGTAAGCATCTATTATTTATTATTATTATTATTTAATTTTTAAATTTTATCTTATTTATTTATTTTAATTATTAATTATTTTAATTATTTTATAGGGGCTATGAATAATCAATATTGTTCTGCGCATAAGATAACACCTTATAATCTAGTATTTGGACAATTACCTCATAGTGAAACCAATATAGCAGATATTTTAATAAATGATAATTATTATCAAGAAGAATTATTCAATACTTCGGCATCTAATACTTCAGCATCCAATACTTCAGTATCTAATACTTTAGCATCTAATACTTCAGCATTTGATACTTCAGCATCTAATACTTTAGCATCTAATACTTCAGCATTTAATACTTTAGCTATTTTAGAAACCAATAATATTAATGAGTTATATGATGATTTATCTGATATTTTAGATATTTATTATAGTCAAGATAGTCTATATAATGATAATTGGGCTATATGAACATAATCTAAACAATTCATTTTTAGAAGATTTTGAATCTAGGCTTAGTTTAGAAGGCTCTGAAGATTATTATTTAGAAAATTTTGAATTTAGACATAATTTAGAAGGTTCTATTATATCTAACAATTATTATTTAGAAGATTCTACTATATCAGATAATTATTATTCTAAGAATTTAAAAACTTATAAAGCTCAATCTAAAATTATTGAAGTAGATAATGATTTGATAGAATCAAATAATAATATAGTGAATTTACAAGAGATTATCATAATTAGTGATTCAGAAAGTCAGTCTTATACAACTCAAGAAAAACAAAAATGGCAAGAATCTAATGTAGAACTACAAAAAACAACATCAAATTCAACTCATCCTATATTTGAACAACACAATAAAATTCGTCAAGCTGCTATTTCAAATGTTAAAAAAAACCGTGAAATTATTAAAAGTACAATGGAAATAAAATATGAAACTAAACGAAATCGGGAATATGATCTTGGTGAATTTGTGAAAATTCGTAAGATGCATAGAAGATTGGTGCCTTGTAAAATTATTCAAAAAAAACCTAATTGAGATTCCTATCAAGTAGCTTGCAAGTTTGGAATACTTGATGACTGGTATCCAGCATGTGAGCTTAAACTATTAGATACACCTGATTATTCTGATCTTGATGTTGTTCCACTAAATAAAACACTTTCATTAAGGCAAGCAAGTCTTAAACAAAATTATACACTTGTGGCTCAACCTTCAAGCTCAAAACAAGTTAATCAAGAAATTAATGAAAGTTTAAATTTATCAGAGTATGAACTTATTTATATTTATTAGCTTCAATTTTTTGTTTAATACTAATTAATACAATTTTTTATTAGTGGTGATGATTTTTTTATAAAAGAAACTACATTCAAAAAAACCAACAATGGTTGTAATTGTTAAAGACTAATTGTGAAACAAAAACATGCTTCTGCCGAAAAAATTCATTATTATGTTCAAGGAAATGTGGCTGTGTTATGCATGGCCAATGCAAGAATCAACAACCATAGTTATTTGTGCTAAAATATATTTTTTTTCAAAAAAAAATGAACATAGAACTGCTCTTATTTTTCGTAGAATAGCATTATATTTAGCATAGAATTCAGCATTCAATACACTATTACTATTATTTTATACTAGACAGAGAAGCTATATCAATGTTTTTATTCTATTTAGATAGCATGTGATATATTTTTTTAAAAGAGCGCTAATCGGTAAAATTCAATATACAACATAAGGGAGATGGGGGTATTGTGGCCAAGTTAAAGTTTCTACTAATAAAACTTTTTAATAATCATATAGATATTTATATAATTTTTATTATTTGAACTATACTTAAGAAAGAATAAATTACTATAAAAAAATCTTTATATCATATATATTTTTAGATATAAATAAATAGTATTAAAATAGAATATAAAAACTAAATTTTTAGAGGGGAGGGGTATTGTGACCAATTATTTGATGGTGAATAGTTTTTGATCTACTGGTTCGTTTTGGATGATTTTGCTACCAAACTGAACGTCTCTATGAGACGATTCTAACAAGCTCAAAATTGTTAAAATCTAATCATGAGATCTCGAGATCATTAAAGAGTTAAATATAAAAATTTGCAGATTTACTAATATAATTTTATAAATAAGATAAATCTATATCGATCTCAGGGCCCCATGATTGAATTTTGACAATTCTATACTTTTTAGAATCATCTCATTGAGACGGTCATTTTGGTGGTAAAATTGTTCAAAATGGACCAGTAGATTAAAAGTTATTAACTGATAAATATTCTATATATTTTAATAATAAATTCAAATATATGCGAAAATTTGTATTTTGCATAAATAATTTTATCTTGCAATCTAGTGATCAGAATTGGTTGAATTTTATACCATTCAATTTGTCTCGGTGAGACGAATCGAATAGTATAAATTTTATACAATTCTGATCACTAGATCACAAGATATGCTACTTGGCCACAATACCCCCTCCTGGCCACAATACCACCATCTCCCTTATGTTATTCTTAGATTCACGAATGACACATGTCAATCCTGGATTGACGAGAATCAATAAATGACGTATAACAGTTATACGTTTGTATGGATATCATTTCTTGTTATTTTATACATATGTTGCATGCATTCTGAAGACATCCAAAATCATTACTTTCAACAATTCTTCTCAGGAATTAAGCATTAATTCAAAAAATTTCGTGACTTTATAAATTCTTTCCGTAACTATCAAGTTACATTAAGCTTATTATTTCTAGTTATCATTCATGCTAAATTCATGTTAATTATTTTGACAATATTAATGATATTATTAATATTAAGTTAAATCGATGCAAATAAAGTATAAATTAATAGTTAACAAATAAAAAGGATTTATTTGTTATAGAAATAAGAATTTGAAACAATACGTTCATATGGTACCAATGTAACATTCCTTTTTGATATCATCTAATTTAAATGATCCATGTACACCACATAATTCAAAGTTCCACGTTGTATGCAACATTTCTTAATATTGCATAACAAACTAACATATCATTGTTATAGTTTGGAGCTTGCTTCAGTATATCACTTGCTTATCTATATTTAGAAGATCAAATAATTCAATGTGACCTGATTGACTCTTTAGCTCATGACAAGATCAATGTTGTGCTTACCACAATATTATATTATCATTGCTACCTATCTATCATATGATAAAATTATTGTCCGTCACGAGTGTCTTGTATATTTTCACCAATCATTTTGATCATGTGAAATGAGTAAATCATAATTCAAAAGGAGAGATCACCATATCGTGAGAATGCTTTCAACTTCACAATCATCGCACACCCAGAGCTGCATATCTTTTATGAATTCTACCGTATTATACATCAAATTACAATCCTAAAAATTGGAACCTAAGTACTTAAGTTGACTCTAAACACTTAAATTAAAATGAAATTTTAAGTCATCTAGGCAGAAATTTTTGATTAGCCTAAAGTTAATTTTAAGATGTTGTGAGTGATAAAAAGGGAAAATAATTGACCAATGTTCGTCCACTTCATCAGACTTGATCTCGTAAAATTGATTCTGCTAATCATTCTAGTTCTCAATAGCATGCATTGTTTAATTATCAAATTTAATAAAAGAAAATGACATTGCAAACTACATAATTAATTTGAGTTAAATATTTAGAGGTCGAATCCGATAGAAAGGAAAGTAATGATTGATATACAGATTTTCTTTTTCTGTTACTCACATGTTAGTAACTTTTATCGATATTGTTTATTAAGTGTCATCGGGAGTTTTGCAAATACAAAAAATATTACCTTGTTTATTTACGTATTTTACCATATTATAATTATTCAATTTACCAAGTGCAACAATGTAATGTGTCTCTGATATGAGTATTCTTCTTAAAGTTTTTAATTGTTAGAAAATTTTTAATATACTGTAACCATTGTAGGGGAGAGCTTGCTATTGTCATGCCGAGTTTAACTCCGATGGTTGACGTTAGAATTGGGCGATAAATTATTAGGGTGATAAACGGACTAATTAATCAAACATATGTCAGTAAACTATAAAATTTAATATATTGCAGATTTTTCAAGT